ATGGGCGGTATTCATAGTCCGTTCTTATATTCAAGATCGTCTTAAGCACGAACTTATATTCGCTCTCTTTGTCAGACACAATCTATGTGTGACGAAGAGAGCGAATATAAGTCCGTGCTTAAGACAATCTTAAATATAAGAACGGACTATGAATACCGGCCTATGAATACCGCCCTATGCCAACTTTTCTCTTTCAAATATTCTTAAACGCCATCTAAATTCATTTCTGGAAGTGGTAAACTAAACGTTGCGTGGTGCGAAATTCAAACTTAAGCGAACGCACACGTGTGTATTTATATCTATATTCCTATATTTTTTAAATAATAATTCCATACTCTGACAAATAATTTATTCATAATGTTACATGTTATCACATACAGTGTGCATTGTAAAAACCTAAATTTTCATTGTTTGAATTTCAAGATTGTTGCAAAAGGTTAAATGCAGAATAAGACGTTTTGAGAATCTATAATATCAGATAAAATTTTAATATAGAAATTATGTATAAAAGCAAAATCAAAAAAACAATTTATCGTAGTACTTACATTAGTATACGAATCCAAAGACAATGTCACCAAAAAGCTGCTGGTAAATTTGATAGGTTTTGTGCTGCGCTTCATAATCATCAGAAGATCTTTTTGTTCGCTGATCGTCAGCAGCATCCAATCTATTTGGTACACTGCTTCACTTAATTCAACACTCTGTAAAAATAAAGAATCAAAAGTTAGAATAATAAAATTGTAATCAGAGACAAATTGTGATTGCAAAAAGCTTGCATATTAAAGTATTATGCTGTAACACTGTCGTTTGTCTGAACATATTTCTTTATATATATTAGGGGTACAAATAAGTTTTAAAGCGTTTTTTTGAAAATTCAAGATGTTTTTGCAGAAATTCAATAATACATTTAAATATCAAAATATTCTCCGTTATTATCTATGACCTTGCGCCATCTTTCGGGCAGCTTACAAATTCCGGCAGTGAAGAAAGTTTTGTCTTTTGATTTAATAAAGTCGACCCATTTTCGCACTTCAATATTCCGGAAGCGTACCTCAGACAATGCGTTTTGCATCGACCGGAACAAGTGATAATCACTTGACGCTATATCTGGCGAATAGGCCGGGTGCGGTAGAACATCCCAACCAAGCGTCAATAATGTTTTTTTGACCGTTTTAGCGACATGAGGCCTAGCGTTGTCATGAAGCAATTTCACCGGACGCAATCCTTTGTCAGTATATGGACGTTTTCGACGGATTTCTTCGTTCAATCTCAATAGTTGTCGACTATAACAATCACCATCAACCATTTCACGTGGTTGCAGAAGCTCATAATATAGCACACCCTGCATATCCCACCATATACAGAGCATTACACCTTTTGGTCGTGGATATTCCGCTTTGGCGTTGATGTGGATGATTGGCCGGGGTTTACCCATGATTTTTTTCGCTTGGGATTATCGTAATATATTCACTTTTCATCACCCGTTACGATTTTCCACAGAAAAGACTTTCTGTGCTGTTTGTTGTACAGATTCAGACACATTTCGACACGTTATCTTTGTTCTTCTGGCTCAATTCGTGTGGTACTGTTGGTGGTACTGTTGATGGTACCACTTTCCCTCTTTCTAAATCTTTCCCATCTTCTGTAAACGGTTGGAAACGGTTTGTTGCTTTACTCCCAGTTGTAATGCAAGCTCTTTTTGCGTTTGGGACGAATTTTCATCGAGTAATGCTTGCAATTCATCGTCCTCAGTCTTGAGAAGGGCTCCGCTACGTTCACGATCGCTAACATCGAAATCACCTTCTTTAAACCGTCTGAACCAAAATTTACACGTACTTTTGGATACAACATTATCTCCAAGAGTCAAACAAATTGATGCACACGCTTTTGCGGCGCTCTTTTTTGATGGAATTCATAGCGAATGCAGTGCCGAATAAATTGTTTCTCGTTTGCCATTTTCAAGTTGCTGCAATTTTAGGTTACACAAACAATATCGTGAAGTTGATTGTTATTTTTTATGTTACCATATAAACATTACAAAAACGGAAAAGAGCGGGAGAATATTTAAATTTTGAATTACTTTTTATGTTCTACAAAAAACGCTTTAAAACTTATTTGTATCCTTAATAAAATATTAAAAAATTACCTTAAGTATAACTTCATTCCCTGCCCAGCAATAAACAAAAATCTGCACAAACATGCAGAATGTAAAAATTGCTAAGTGCATGAAGTCTATAAACATTATATGAGAAGACAGATAATACACACTGGAACATATTACAATTATGCTGGTAAAAAATTGGATAAATACTACTTGGTTGAATATATCATTGACCAGTTCGGCAAATCTAAAAATATATAGTATTATATAGTAATTAGCAAATAAAATGTTATAAGCCACTATATAAAAAAGTCCAACGCTCTAACTGCATATTATATAATAATTAGTCAGTATTTAAAATATGTTTATGTAATGTGATATAAATTTACGCTCGCATAATTTTCTATTATTTTAATTTGACACATTCTCGAGATAAATTATATATTTATCATCAATAAATAGCAACACGAAGCATTGTTTAACACATAAATAAACAATAAATAGAAATAAAATAATATCTTCAACTGTTTGACCAACCTGATTATACATAAATGATAACAAATGTGTTCTGATAATCTACTTGTCTTTTTCGGCATATTGTTGAAATTCTTGCAAATTTCAATCTTATCGTTAAATTTCACCACTTCTTGAAGACGATGTTTAAGAATCTCAAGTTTTGCGCATGTTTGCAAGCAAAATCCTAGTACCAAAGTTTCTGTAGCAATGTTTACAAGCGTTGCGAAAATCATAGCTACTATTTCATGAAGGGATGTAAGCCAGAATAAAAAGAGCGAATTATAATCATAGGGTACCCACGCCCTAAAAGGTAATTCGCCTTGTAAAGTAACGAAAATTTCTGCTATTGTACCAGCAGTAACAGACATCGATGCTAGAAGCACGTAACTTATGGAACACGATCTGCATATAATTCAAAGCATACAATAAACATATAATATATGTACAAACAATGTATTATAAGAGTAAAAACCTCAATATAATACATGAATCATTTGACAATTTTTCGGAACAAAATAGCATTAATAAAAATAAAAAAAATTGCCAATTTTTAAAAAAATATAAATTATTTTTCTATTTTATTCCAAAAATTATTGTAATGATCCACGTATAAATTTCGATTAAACTTAAAAAGAAAATTTTTTTATATTAATTTTATCAAATTTAAGATAAGAATTTATAAAAAAGTTAATTTAAAATTATCTTGTTGCGTTGTGCACAGACTACAATTTTATAAATAATTTTTTACGGAAATAGTGTCTTTTTAAACAGTCTTTTTAAACTAATTTATCATATAGAAATATAAAATAATTAATAAAAATATTGCATAAAGATACAAAATTTATATTTTTTGCGCAATATAATTATTACAAATTCTGTAATTAATTCTGTAATATTATCAACTTTAATTAGATTCTTTTTGTACTGCAAAATATATTCAACAGTTGACATATACAATCACGCTTTTAATTAACTACCCACTTGTTAATATTGTAAAAAGTTATTTTTACCTAATTAAACGATCGTATTTCTTCTGAATGTCAATTTCCTCCTCGTCACAGGGTTTACATGGTTTCTCTTGTAATATTTTGACCAAGTTAATAATTTCACCGCGACGAATTACGGCAATAGCTCCTTTGCATATCGTAACGACAAGCGAAAAGAATATTAGGGAAGTCGAGGTAAAATCGTCCACATTATCAACAACAAGGATAATATCCATGCAAAACGCCAAAGCGCAAAAATTCATTAAATACATAACGAAGAAGGTGTACGCATTGTACAAATATATGGAGCACTTCGATGACCATTCGATAGGTCGCCACACACCGCCGATGGTGTAGAATAAAAAATTCAGAGATAGTATCTGCATTTATTACAGTTGCTAAAAACCAGAAAAACTTACTCATTAAAAAAATATAGTATCGTTAATATTAATTAAAATTACTAAAACATTATAGTATTTTAAGTATAAGTCCAAACTAATTCACAGTTAATTATACATTGCGTATATCTCTCGAATAATATTTAGAAGAAGAAAAAAGAATGTTTTCAATCAAATATTAACAATCAAATAATACATGTTACACTGTGCACTGCGTGTATTTGTAATTTGGACGAAAAAATTTCAGCAGAAAAAACTTCTAATTCACTCTGCATCAATTACGCGTGTAACTGAGTTCGGTGCTGGCCGATTCTACAATGTTACAGTTCGAGCTTCTTGCTGTCTTATTTCTTGTCATAATGTCCTGCGTAAACCAATGGTAAAACGAAGCATATAACTATATAATTATACGTACAATTTCCGGTGTCGATGGAAATAATTACTACAGAACGCGACAAACGTCGGCGGGTAACTGCGGTTACACCCCCAACTTTGTTCCATACAGTATGATGTTGACAACGATCATAAATAACTTGAGTGATGGCTATTGTAGCGCACCCGATGCTTTCCATCGGTATGGAAATTATAATTACGACGTAATTTTACGGTTCTTGAAACCGAAGAAGAATATTCGATGCTCCAACATGCTGTTGCATTCCCAGGAAATAAAGCACTCTACTGGAAGTATTTATTTCAAAATACGCGATTTTAATTATAAAGTACCGTACATCAATGATGTCTCGTTATATCATCAGAGGTGTAAGAATCTGTAAAGTTCATTTGTAATATTGTTCAAGTGAACGCGGTGCGTACAGGGTGTATACATATAAATTTCTATTGTATATATCTATATGTTTAGTGAAACATAAAAGAACAGAGATCAATATAATTAATACTAATATAATTAATAATTTAATTAGATTGCATAAATACTGCTTTTTAAGTGCTCGACAAAGGCAACAGATTTCACATAAAATTAACAAACAGATCACGTTATACAATAATTCGTTAATAAAAATGTTTTGGATTTTTTTATCCTTTAAGTTAGGAGAGCGCATTCGACCGCTTATGGCGCGTATCGAAAGAGTTAATTTTATATTAATAATTAATCGATATCTTGGAAGTCAATTATCTAAAATAAATACATAATTCTAAACTTATAAAAAAGTGTTAAAATCTCAACAAATAAAACTTAGTAGAATTCGTTGTGCAGGGGATATTGACAACTGTTATCGATCTATAATCATGTTTTCCGAGTAATCTCGACCTAAAACAAAATCGATTAACAACTGCCATTTCGTTCGATTTATTGCCATCTTATTACCGACCAGCTGATTGTAATACCGTAATATCTTATTACTTTATTAGTCAGCTGATCATAGTTATAAAAAAGTTACACGCACTATACATTGCACGCGCGTACACATGCATCAAATTTTTGAAGTGCTCTAATCTGACGAAAAATTAATGTAGCAACAAAAATAATCTTTTATACAAAAGTGGCAAAGTAAAAGATTTTTTTTATTTCCGAATTAATCAAAAATGTTTCTTTATTTTTTCTTGGGGTTCATATAATTGTGTAAAATACAAAATAAATTATGAAATATACACAAGTATTATTTGACATTACAGAATATTTATTCATCCGTAAATGATATTCATATTTATGTCATGCTGGGGGATGTAAAATAATGTTTGATTAAAAAATGGAAGACATTAATAACATTTAAATTCAAGTCTATTTATGCATATGTGTGTGTGTGTGTGTACGCGTACATATATATCTTTCTATTTTTATACTTTTTAAATAATAATTCCATACTCTGACAAGTGATGTATTTATTCATAATAAGTCTTCATATATTATATTGTGCATTGTGAAAACCTAGATTTTCATTATTCGAATATTGTTACAATATCCGAATTTCAATATTGTTGCAGTAAGTTAAAAGCAGAATAAGACGTTTTGAGAATCTATAAAGCAAAATAAAATTTTAGTAGATATTGTGTGCTGTATTCAATATATCGAGAAAAATTCATTGCAGTACTGACACTGGTATAAGAATCCAAGGACAACGTCACCAAGAAGCTACTGGTAAATTTGATAGGTCTTGTGCTACGCTTCATAATCATCAGTAAATCTTTTTGCTCGCTGATCGTCAGCAGCATCCAGTCTATTTCATATACCGCCTCACTCAATCCAGTACTCTATGAAAACGATCGATATAATCAGTCATTATCAAAATGATTTGTGATTGCAAATAACTTGTAACACACAAATGCATTTTATGGTAATGTTATATTTTTATTTTGTTAAATTAATTAATTATTAAAATTAATTTTTGTATCCATAAAAAGTGATAACCACCTTGAGGATTACTTCGTTTCCAGCCCAGCAATAAACGAAAATCTGTACAAACATGCAAAATGTATAAATTATTAGTTTCACGAAATCGGCGACAGTCATATGAGAGGATAAATAGTAGACAGTTGAGCATAATATCAATATGCTTCCAAAAAATTGAACAAAGAGTACTTGACTGAATATATCATTGGCCATTTCTGCGAATCTATAAATATACACGTAATATATAGCTATTATGTAGCAAATTAAATGTTATAAATCAGTAAACTGTATTAACTTTATTCATAACGTAAGATATCTTATCAGCAATAATTAAATCAAATATTATTCAATAAATTTAATCGAAAAACATACAAGCAAAATAAAATTTTAGTAATCGTGTGCGGTAAAATAATTTCTTTAACTGCTTAACTAACCTAATTATACAGAGATGATAACGAATGTGTTCTGACAATCTGTTTGTCCTATTCGATACTCTGTTTAACGACTTTTCTAAAATTTCTTCATTCCCTGTGAATTTTGTCACCATTTCGAGGCGACATTTAAGAATTTCGAGTTGCGCACATGTTTGTAAGCAAAATCCTAATACCAAAGTTTCCGTAGCGATGTTTACGATCGTCCCGAAAACTAGAGCTAACATTTCTTGAAGGGATGTAAGCAAGAAGTTAACGAACGAATTGTTTATGTCATAGGGTACCCACCCCCGGTACGGTAATTCGCCTTGTAAGACAGCGAATATCTCTCCCACAGTAGCACCAGTGGCAGAAAACGATGCCAAAAGCGTGTAACTTATGGAACATAATCTGCATGCAGTTCGAAATAAAATATATAAAATATGAACAGACATGGAAAGATTCAATAAAATAAAAAATTAATCAATTTTAAGAAGTTAAAAAGAAATCTATTCAATTTTCTGAAAAAGAAATTTCCTCAGAAATAAAGATCTGTTTCTAAAAACTTAAAATTTATTTATTGTCTGCAATGTTATACAAATTTTATTTAAAAAGAGG